CCTCGACGATGATACCTTAATTTGGCCTTGATCGCCGCATGGCTAATGAAATTGCAGGATTTCAGTGACGTTGTTGTGACGTCATGAATGCCAAGGTGGCTTTGAAATACTCTCCTCGATATACCTTTCCCTATTTTCACGGGCGTGTAGCTCAGAAATAAAGGGGTTTAGGTTCAAGATGGGCTGGATTGTCAACAGCACCGAAAGGCCAGCAACACGGCTGTTTCAGTTTAAAACCCCGTATAAATGTGAGACGCTCCCTTTAACATTTATATTCTTTTTACCGTCATCATTATTTGAGAGTCATCTCTTAGCCATACTCTTTTAATCATATGCATGTGAATGCCCAATGTAAATGGTTTAAACCCTATGAAGCATATTTGGAAGATGTTTGACTTGGGCGTGTTATCTCCAGAATGACAGTGACTTAGCAGGCTGAAGCGCTTGGGAGTTTGCGTACGTTTGGAAATCTGTTTGGAGGAAGCATCGACTCGTTGATGACTTCAGGCCAAAAGTCTGCGGTTTATTTTGGATTGCTTTGAAGGCCTGAATAAAATAATCGGCGTGCAGATGCTCATCTTTATTCTTGTCAAAATGTTCACAATCATGTCAGAGAAGCCCACCATATAAAGCAGCGTCATTGCTATACCGTAGACAAGTTTGCGTGGAGCATGTTGCCCATGAGTGTCGTAATCTGCGGGTCAGCGAATCCAAATTGACTGTTCTTGGGTTTTTGAAAAAAATCACTTTTACTGACTTGGATCACAACTTAAAGTACAATGGACGTTCTGTGATTGATTTAGCAGAGGAAAAAGCATGGGAGACGCCGAGTTTAACCTTGTGGCCTAGCGATTAGCAAACGTCAACATTTCATTTTTTGACTGCATGCGCTGCACAAACATTTTTTCATCAAGTACGATTGCAATAAAGATAATTCCATTCGACGCGGTATAATCAATTAATCCAAGACAGACAATTATAAAGCATGTTTTCCTCGAGCATTACGACCCATGAGTCGGCAACTTTAAAAGTTCTTCATCGTTGGCTGCTGACTCGCTAGAAATACATTTACTGGACCAGATTACAACAAAAAGTACACAAATCAAAGCGCCGCAATCAATATACCGGAGACAAACAAGTATAGCACATATGAGCCATCAATGTCGTTATCCATGGGCCAACATACTATGACATTGGCCAAGAGGTTGTAAAGGTATATTTTGCGTGTCATAAAACAACAATTTTCAGTTTTTAACTTTGTTGGCCGGTGAGTATGGGTGTAACCACGTCTCCAAGACCCTTTCAACAGAGATAGCACGACATACAACATAGTGGTTGCCTTGCAGTCAATGTCGGTTTCATGCATGCTTTTGCATGTCGACCACATTTCAAATGAATGCGCATTTTTACAGATGACCGAATAGAGATTTAACAGAGCAAATAGAAGGCTGTAGAAATAGGTTTGGGCTTTGTAAACATTTGACATGCTCAGGGCAATTACCATGTTGTTTGTGAATGACAGTTGCGCCACGGTTGGTACTAAAATACTTACTTCGGTACTGGAAACTTGGAGCGGCGAAAACCCAGAGCTGTGGCAGAGCATTCCCATCAAATGCTAACAATATTATACACGTAGGTATTTTTTAAAGCGCTGTTCACAAAATACCTACGTGTGTCATTGGGACTTTACGACGCACTCAGGCGCTGGGGCTATATGGCGTCGCCTACCTCTCGCCCCTCCTGCCAGGATGAGAGGCAGGCAACGCCATATAGCCTCAGCAGCTGAGTGCGTCGTAAAGCCCCAATGACACACGTAGGTATTTTGTGAACAGCGCTTAAATGGCAAATGTTGTCTGTCCCCAAGTTGTGTAGGAAGTTGACAAACTGCATGACACTAAACAATATCTGGCTGGCAGTCCGGGTCCAAACCTCATATTTATCTATTTTTAATTGTGATTCAAAGAGATGTTGTTCGTTGATATTGAGCACTAGCCAAGATGGATTGAGCTCTCTCAGCTGTGCCATGACATTGCGGGGTGGGTTAAAACTTGCCGGCATAAATGACCGACCAAAATGGAATTCCGCTGTTGGTGCGCTCGGAGCGACTTCTCCGCAATAAGCAAAACTCAACAACAGCGCTGATCCCAAAGCCGTCGCTGCAAACCATTTAGTCAAAACTCTTTAAAGAGTGCATCAAAGCCCGGAAGAAAATGTCGAGCACTCAGCAAACGATCACATCATCATGCCCAAGCCGGCCCTGTCAAACTGTGCTATTGACCCACTGAGGAACAATGATGCTGAGAGGCTGTAACATTTCCCGACCAACGACGTGCTGGCCCAACAGACTGTTGTAGTGGTCCGGTACGGGTCAGTGTAGGGCCGAAATGTCGCAGGTTTGGTGGTGGTCCGCCCCCAGAGACCAGGGCATGATCGCTGGAACACAGGTTACGCAACACGCAAGTGGTGACGGGGCTGTTCCGATTAGTGCTCGGTTGCTTGGTGACGGAAATATTGCATTGTTTTTATTTCAACGCAAAACCATGCTGGCGTTTTGAAAGGATGTGAGTCGTCATTTAAGGGGACCAAAGCCGATATTCACGCAACTTTAATCAACTTATAATGGAAGATGCCATATTTTGATGGGCTCGCTATGGATCAGGAATGAGTGACATCACGCTTATGATGAATAAATTCGCGGCTCTTATTGGATGCACATGCGTTTGGTTCGATACATTGTCACATTCTTTCAAAACCTTTGTGTTCCTAGGTTTTGAAAGTTATTGAGTGCATTTGCGAGGAACATCATGCACATAGATAAGACAGTAGTAATAGCCTTATTCCTCGGAAAAACTGGAGAATATATATATATATAGAAGCGTTGATATTTCCGTACCATGCCTATATCGAAACGAAAAACAGAGGCTTTCTTTAAGCAACGTGCCTTTACTCTCAGAAGCAACATGCCTTTATCGGAACGAACAGCAGAAGTTATTCTTTTCAATAAAGACATGTTGCTGAAATATCAGCGAATCTTCACCTCCATTCTCCCCGTTTTTCTCCACCGAGGAATTACTACTACTTTTTTGCTATTACTACCGTTTTATCTGTTTTCTAGGTTTGACGTGGCTCTGCGTCAGCCCTGATCCGATTATTGCAGCTTAAATCAGTTTGAGGGTCATTAACATGGTCTTAATCAGGTTCAAGTCGTAAGTGTCGTGTTCAAGGAGTGACATTTTAAATGACGGATGGCGAATAGCCGAATACACAAGAATCTTCCTTAAACTTAGTTAACTTTACTTGTACGCTTGTAGATAAATTTGGAAGCCTATTTAACCTTATTTTTTGACAAATCAAAGCAGAGACACGAGTATAACGTAAGAAGAAAAGCATTCGAAAAAGGTGGCATTGCCCTCGTAGTTGTCTTATATCCGTTCAGCTTTTCAATAATAGGAAACTGTGACAACCGTCTTCACCTGTTGGAGCGCCGGCCAACTGTGGTCTTTACCACCAACAGCCATTTACCGACGGTTACCAGCGGCCGTCCTCTGCACTAGGTTCTGAAATGAACCTGACAGCACAGCTGGAGCGATTGCAAACGCTACCAAGTGACACGGCGTGACTTGGCTTGCTTTGTACGTTGATCAGAAGGCCTGAGCAAGGCATTGCAGCATGCTGCTCCTGGCGTATTTCTTAACCCGGGCCATACAATACAAAGGGCAGCCATAGGGCGGATTGGTGCACATAAAGAGGTTTAGTCCAAGTGCAGTTTTTGTGCCACGCGAATTATGTGCCTGCAGATCGACCACATCTTATGTATGGAGGGGGGGGGGGGGGAGGGTCGACGCAGTCAAATGTCAGGGTCAGTCTCATCACAGTATTCCATAGATAAGGATTTTTCCGCGAAAGATTCCTTCTCCTTATTCTGCATTCCAGCGGGCTAAGGCTGTCAGGCTTTTATAACGCGTTTTACATGCGGGAGACTATGTGATGAGCCGCCCAGATTGTCGCTTAATACCGTACCAAGGTGCTCTGACTCGGCGCGAACATCTGACTGCCGGCGGGGAGTTTCCAAATCACATACTCTACCAGCAGCCTGCACTCAAACAGCAGACAGGAATTTTTGACTGGGCGTGCGTGAAAAAAGGTAAGCCTTTATCCCGATGCAAATTCCTTAACAGGGCGAAAGAGAAAACCTACATGCTTAGGATTTGGGGAGGGCAGCAGAGAGTCGGTTTAACACACGGCTGTAACGTGCCACGTGGCATGCATTTTAGAATGGAACTGCGGCGTTGAACATTTTTGTTCATATGCCACCTCGAAAAAAACTTGCTGCGTTTACGGAGGCGTCCGCATCATGTCCCATTTGGGAGCACATATAAAATTTATACTGAAGAAAGCACTTTGGCGTGCCTCAGATAGTGGAAAGCTGGCATTGCATGTCATAAATCGTACGTTTGCAATCTATTTCGTCTTACATGCTAACATCTATTTTTAAGTGCCGACGTAAATCGATGCGTAGGTTTATCAATGCCTTCATTAGGTTTGATAAGGGAGCGCGTGACCTTTCGTGCCCTCTTTTCAATATGTTCATGTGCGCAAGTAGCATAGGTCGTAAAAGGTTTAAAAGACAGCGACGTCCTATCCCGCGAGCAACTTGGGGACGCGTCAGAGTCTGATCAGCACCCATATCAAACGACTGTCTTTCTCGCGCAGGGTGCTTGAAACAGCTTTCACTATTGAGTTCTGGCTAAGTGACGTTAGTGGCATTATTATTGTTCTCTTTTGAGCACGGGACAATGCGCTTAGGTAACCCTTTTAATTAGTCGGCGCCAACGCACTGCAAAACATTACGACTTCTAAATATTTGGTTAACGAGACAAGCCGTAGCCCAAATAGTGACGTCACGGTTACTATGGCGATACTTGCAGGTTCCCTTGCTAGCGCGAGTGCGATGAAGCTCTCACATTCAGAGACCCGTGCGAGTCTATACCCCAAGAAGCATTCAATCGTGGCGATAGGCGTGGGTTCGTGGGGACCGCACGCCCATCTCCGGGGGAAAAGCCTGAGAAGTACGGATAGTGGACGCAGTTGTTGATCGAGGATTGCAGGTTTACCTATCCAGGTTAGTTTCTTGTTGGTCATGGCTTCCAGCTGGTACTAAGTTATTGGGATTAGTACCGAGGGCAGGAAGGAAGATGTTGGCGGCTTGGGACCGGGGTTTAGCGCTTCATGCTGTTATTGGACTATATGCTGCATTCTTAATTCGATATTATGGAGTTTCTGTTAAAGTATTTAGGAGGATAAGGCCTACAAAAATATTGCAATTTCATTAGTGCATCACTTCGTTAACTGTAGACACTAATTTTTCTTGGGAATTTGAACAAGTGGGATTTTAAAAACCAGCTTTCAATAATAAATGGAGAGCAGTGGAACTCCCACAAATTTTGTGCTTCTGCTGTGCCTCATGACTGTGGGCATGCAATGTGGTTGCACTTGAGCCCAAGAGGGTCCAGGTTCTTATCCACAACATGCACAGAAGTTGAAGCTGTCAAGACCCCACTGACATTTGGGAAACAGGTCAATTTTTGACAAGGTAAATTATACCAAAATGGTTGGATCCAGTGCCATTTCATGCATAGCTTTGCCCACATTCAGGTTAAGAAGTGCACAGCCATTTTTCATGAGGTGCTTATGCAATTTGAATCAGTATTATGTTCTGCAGGACTTGCCTATGCTGAAGCCAAAACTTAGAAATATCACAGTACCTACCTAGAGGTATGGAGGGCTGAATAAATGGCAAAAGGCAATAGTTTGTGAATCAGCCAGTCTGCAAGCACTGGCAGTGGTTGTTTCAATATGCTTTGATAGCCTTTATGCATAAAACAGACTTCACCATCATCAGAGCAGAATTGTAGCAGGCTGTGATACTGGCTAGTGAGGAGAAGATTTAGGCATTTATTATGTTCAGTATTGCATAATTTAAGAGAAGGCTTGCAATTCACACTTACTTATTTAAAAAAGTTTTTACATTGATGTGAAACCAACTAATGCATGTATCAACATTGTTGTCAGCTTCAACCTAGTTTGCTGTATTCAAAATGCATTTCTTGTAGTTCACTTCATCAGGCCCATCATATAAGGATGCCATGTGCTCAGTCTTCATGAGTGGTAATTATGTGTGAAATACCATTCTGCAAGCACGTAATGAGTCGGAGCGAGTCTTGTTAGCAAAATTATTTGTCCTGCCTTTATTCCATGTGGTGTGTTGCATCAAATTTCATGCAGGCTGTACAACCAGACAATGTATTTTTACCTGGTTTTGTTTGGTGGATGCATGACACTCATGACACTGATGCATGAATATTTCCCCATCAATGTAGGCAGCAACTCCACCCCCTATTCCTGGACCCATAGGAGGATGCAGCAGTATGTAATTAAGTGCCATAAAGGTCACATGGGTGCATCTTCTTAGTGCCTTTATAGGACAGAATAAATCTCACTTGTATCCTGTTACATTTTTTGTTGAGAAGGTGTCATTATGTGTCATGTCAGGTGATAAAGTTGTACCTCATAGGGTGCCAATTAACCCATGAGATAAGGATCTCTGAATGAGTTTCTCTGTTTGACAATGTAACTATCCTTATTCCACGTCCTGTACAAGAAATGTTGTTAAAACACTGCTGTAGTTTAGTTTTAACCCACATAGTGTTGATCCATTACTGAGTGGTATGTTGCCGTTGTGCCCATTAATAAGCTGCAGAAAGTGAGCCTTGTCACTTGGATCTGCATTGGTGCAAAACTATTTTGAAAATAGTTCTAGGTTTTGTGCTGTTGACACATAATCATGAAGTATGGAACATCTCTCTGAACTTCTTTTTGGTGGGCTGCCCCCAGATATAGACCTGATTGTATTTGCCATTGCCACTTGTGCAAGCTTATGGGCCAAGAACATATTGTGTGCTGAAGGGGAGCTATGATGTTGCACCAAGCTATGCTGTTGCATTTAGAATGAGGTGTTCTTAACAGCCACAACAATCTATATAATTAGTACTTCCCAAGCTTGCGGGCATAGATGCTGCCATATCTGAAGGAGCCAGTAACTTGTCATTACAATGACCTTGTTTTGCTCATGATGTCAGTCGGCATCTGATTTATTGCTGGATGCAGAAAGCATTGGCGATATGACATCTGTTTGCCATCATCCTGGGTGCTTTCAATGTCTTGGGAGTGTCAAATGCACTTCATTTATATCTGCTGCATCAGACATGATATTACCTGTCATGGCAGCATACTATCTGTCATGGAGAAAGTTGCCTTTGGACTCAGTTGGCATGATATTTATAGGTTGAAACAATATCCGCAGACCAGTTTAAATTTGATTGGAACCGGCCAATAAAAAAGGCTGGTGGTAAAATAGCAAACTCACAAAATTATGCTACATGTCGAAATGGTGCGGCAGAACGACTTGCAGGGTAGCCAATAAGAATAGCTTGCAGGATAGCTTCGGTGTGATAGGCTTGCTGCTAAGCTATTATAGAGTGCTTATGGTCAGATTTATATGTCGAGCCGTCTCTTCAGCCGGGGCTTCACGGCTGCGTGGGGTGACCAATGATTCCGGGGCAATATGATTGAAGCATTCAGCGCAGAATAGCCTTGATAAACAACAACAACGCCATCTGAAATTATTAGCTGGTGCTAGTGGCGGAACGGACTATTTGGATGATAATGCGTTCGCAACTGGAGTCATCGCAGCGACCAGTATAGCACGCAAGGCTCCACGGAAGTACGAGAAGGGGCGGGGGGGGGGGGGGAGGGGGAAGAGGGGCATGATCCGAGGGTCCACCGTGAGCGATTTTGTAACGTGAATGTTACCTACGTGCCTCGGAACCGGGGTACGCGTCACCGCAAGGACATAAATGCACGCAAGTCGTGTTGCTGGTAATGGCGTGGGTGCACAGTTGTGACCACGCGGGCCGTGACGTGGGTGAAGTTCACCTTATTAGCAAACTTTATTAGGTGCCATTCATATTTACACACCGTCCCCAAATGTTGTTTTATGCAGTACATGTTTTCATCATCAAAGCTTATCAGATAACATGGGAGGAAGCCCACGAGGAGGGGGCAGGAGCATGGGTACCCGATCGCTCAGACTTTCAGAGGCCGAAATTTCAGTCCGTCTTACGCACGAAGACCGTCCCCCAAACAAGTCTGAAGTGCCCTTCCCCACAATCACTGGATCCGCCCCTGGACAGAATGGATGTGTGTGGATCGAAGACCATTCACTAAAAGTGTCAGGGGCATAATTTCGCAAAGTGAGTTAGGGTGGTGGGGGGTGGTGGGGGGGGGGGGGGGGGGAGGGATAGCTAAACCGTGAAAAAGTATGATAAGAAAAAGCCCGAAAATTCGCCAACAAACGGGGTTTTCCGCGGATCTGGCCCATTTTTCCTTCAGAATTGGGTGAGGGTGGATCCAAGGCCCCCCATGCTAATGGGAGACTACACCTCGGAGAAGTGCGCAGCGCAGACCAACAGTGGCGGTCTTCATTTTAGGGTCTCAGACCTGAGTTTGAAGTGTGATTTTTTAGTTTAGGCCTCCGAGACATCGACGGAAAAAACAAAATCGGACGCAACTGATGCGAAGTGATTGGGAGTCAGCTTAATGCACCTAACCCTAACGTGATGACGGGAAGCCATCACTTCCAGCAGTCTTCAGGTGACAACAAAAGTAAGGTAATTGACAGTTTCAGGACAGTATGCATAGCTTATGATTCTGTGTGGTTCAGCGTCCTCTACACCGTTTTACAAAAGAGACCAACCCGCGCTTGCGTCACGTCACTTAAAGCACCAAAATAAACGGGTCAGTCTTGGTAGGTCATTGACCTCTCTCTAGGTCAGGCGAGATGCGATTACCGTAGTTGAGCTCAAGTCGATTTGTAGGCCGTGTTTTAGATGGAATCGACTGAAAATACAGTGATGCGTTGGTTATCAGAAGTACATTGAACCTTTGAACCCTTATCGCTTGAATCCGTCGAATTGATGGGTCGCTTGTTGTGGAAAAATAATGCTAATGCAGTCAAAATCTGCTCGTAATCGCGGCATCGCTAGCTTTGCCTTGCTGATGAATGCCTTGCTAAGCATATTAAGTTTTCGGTGATGGAGACCAATAAAAGGTGTGCTTGGGCCGGTCACGTCACAGTTCGGTAGTCAGCCGCGCTCAGACTGGCCATAGACGCCATTTAACGGCACGGCCCACTCGCCGATGTCAAGCCGAGACGCTACAGCCAATCGTGATTAGCAAAAACATAATGACGATAGGGACTGTAAAAATGTAAAGACAGAGTTCTTCGGTATATTTTTAAGGGAATTAATTACACCACGTCTCCCATGATATCGAAAGTACAGGAATAGTCGATAAGTACAAGTTACGGTGACGTTAACTTGCCCTTTATCGGCCAAAAATGCTGAAGTGAAGCGGCTGGCAGCAAAGGTGCATCGAGTGGTTACGGTGTTGCAGCAATCTGTTTCATGGGCTCAAATCACGCAGCTGTCTCTAGGAGAATGCGTTGTTTGGCTTTATTCCTCGCGTGGTAGCGATATTTTCCTCTCATATTGAACTCACAGGAGGCGCTTTCCCCCCAGCTTGCATCTTTGCACCAGCTACCAGATTGCGTTGACTCATAGGTCGATCGGTGACCCCAGCATCTCGTTTTTTTTAAGCGAAATACATTTTGTTGGCGTTGGACCGCTGTGATGTGACAGGTTATGTCAAGCGAAATATTTCACGGTTCCCGATAGCGCATTTTTAGGTCAGTTGGGGTCTTGGGAAGCTACCAAACGAAGAGAGCACGTCAGGGCGTGCATCGCGGTACCAAACGGCATGTTTCAGTTCGCATTGGCTTCATGTTAAGGAGGGTCATGTCAGGCCATGAAATCAAGGAGTCCCTCGGGCCCAGAGAGCGATGTGGTGGACATTCGTGTGACGCATTTTCGTGGCGATCCAGAGGCTGACACAGCATTGCGTAGAAATGATAGAAACTGGCATTTTTACGAGTTTTATGGTAGAATAACGTTCATAAATCTTCCAGTCCCCAGCTTGACCTGATTGATGTTAAGTGGAGATAAG